ATTCTATTTACTTTTCTTAAATACATAAACACTACTCAATTTCAAAAGTTGTTTGAAAAGGAGGGGATAAGCGAGATACTCCGGAGTTATTTAAAAATTTGGATTTGAAATAAGAGGACACAATAGCAATAAAGCACCGCCTTTTATGGTAAGTTTGCCGAAGTATTTTCGTGACCGTTAAAAATAATGTGCTCCAAACGTCCAGAACTCCCAAAAGTCATAGAATGTCGACAAACAAGTGGAACGCGATAACTAAGCCACGGTAACGGTTTAATAGATTATTAAATCAACAGAATAAAAAGGTATAAGTGGAAGGCAATAACACAGTGTTAGGTTGAAGAATGCTAAATAAGAACAGAGCGCCTTCTGAGAAGTATCTAAGTAGTTATTTCCTGTTACATGGTGTATACAGATTCATTAAGAAAGACTGATGGCAAAGAAATGGAGGAAAACATTTGGCTAGCCTGGAATTCAGGAGATTAGTCCACAGTTGACCCTTTAATCTTAAGACTCCAACAGTTTACAGACACGGGCTTCAGTAAATAGGTGCTAGTAATCCTTTCGCAGGTTGGAACTTAAGCTGAAGCGAAATTTTCTTTTGCCCGCCGCTCCTCGCGTAAAATATTGATTGTTTTTGGGTCTACTTCCGTCTGATATGACAAACGTCTGGAGCTAAAAATGAGGCATACATTCTGTGGTCAATTTGACAATCAACTTCTGCACAACGTCCCAACTATATTTCTGATCGTAGCCGTGTTTGGAGATCAGACATGACAAAACTAACCTTGGATCGGTCCACAGTTCCGTTTTGTCTGGGATCATGACTGGTTGAACATAAAAAATAGGACCTTAATTGCGGTCTCAGTCTGCTTTGTATTCGTCTGTGGCTCATCTCAAAAGGCATTTATCTAGGTAGCCGGAAGTAAGGCCTCCCAAATTGCGAGTTGCTAAATGCCAAAAAGTAAGCAACCAATTTCTTTTGAAGTAAACTTCGTCGGAAACCGAACAAGCTGGATCCCTCCATCCGCGATCTTTGAATAAAGCCCTTTCGTATGCTTTAGCGGACATCGATCAACGAGCACATAACGGCCTGCTGCGCAGAGAACACGACTTCCTGCTGCATAATGACTGGTGTATTGCCACTCTTGTCGCACGATATTCTGATTCTTGCACAAATTGAGAACCGGATGGATCCGGTTGGTGTTGTGGAGGTGCCCTATCCCCTAGAGCTTGTCGTCCTGGCTCTGACCCCGAAGAAGTCAAGATTTCATAATATCCTTGAAACTGCGCACACGTTTGGCATCTTCCTGACTGACAAGGTTTGTGAAATTAGCTCTATATTGATTCTCGCAATGCAGTGCCTTTTGGTCGATTAGCATGGCAGTTCTCACAGACTAGAATTAAATAATTATTTGGCACTATAAATGATTCGCCTCAAGACAATTGTTTTCATGTCATGTCAATTGCTTTATTTCAGAGTCTTTTTGTCCTTTCCGCAAACTTTCCCCTGCGCTTTTAGTTCAGTAAAACAATTACAAACGGCATTAATTTATTTCCTACTATGCGCTTATCACGCAGTAAACACGCAAACAAGCAGCAAACGTCTAACCACGAATTCCGTAAAAGACTTGAGGTGGGTGACTTCTGTCATTGGGCGACCCTAAGACGAAACCCTACCAAATAATTAAGTATGAATATAACCTGCAGACGTTCGGAGGTCAGTTAAATGGCGCGGTGAAGACTTTCATGTTAGTGCATAGCACAAACAACTTGATATAGTTTTCAAGATATTTATAAAGTCGGCAGAAGCTATCATTTTTCTGGGAATGGATTAGAAAAAAGGTCCCACCCACCCTTGTGGTATCATTCTGCCCTATCCTTGTTGACCTTTCCATCCGTTATAATGGCTGACCATTTCGCGACTGCTTGCAAAGGTTCTAGATGAGTCCTCAAGGTTTAGTGGTAAGAGCATGTCGTGTAACCTTCTAGATGAACGCCCAGTTCTCGATATTTGGTATTCCCGATCACAGTCAATAGGATAATGAGCCTGTAACTCAATGGTAGAGTCCTGAATATAAAAACACAATACACTGTAACAGGAAGTGCAACACTAGTCATTCTGCATTCATCCATAAATCACGACTGGTTATTTTGGGGAAGCAGGGTAGGAAACGAAACTGGTAAATTGACACAGTTTTAAAACACTTCGTCTCTTTTAAAGGACTTTCAGTTGACTTGTGAGCTCGCAACTTCTGCGGATGACCTTTTGGAGGCCATCGAAATTTACCTTTCAAAAACCGTCGTAATGCCAAGACAGACAGAAGCGTTCGTCCCCTTCCCTACTGTCATGCCGCATAAGGAAATCAATCTTATCCTCAACGAAGCGAGTAAGTACAAGGTTTGAATGGTTCTGCCAGCCATAATGTTATAGTTCAATTATGTTATAGATTAAGTAGACGTACGCTCATCCTTTTCTCCACGTTGTTCATTGATTAAGCGCATTGAGACTAGGAGTTGCCTTTCCTACTTATCCGTAACATCGACCCCCGTTTATTCTGCCCGGGAGGACGACTGTAAACAAAACGGCGGGAAATAGGGGGGTGAATCTCTTTTTATTAACAAGCCTCGACTCTATCCACTACAGTACCGTATTGCCACATGCTGAAATCAGCAAGGCAAGGGTAATTAGAGAGCCATTACTGAAAAGCAGTGCGTCAAATGACTGGTAATGAACATAGGAGCGAGATTTTGACTGATATCGACTGGTAAGCTTTCAAGGACGTGGTGCTTCCTAGTACATATACAACGTTTCCAGTGGCCTTCACTATTGACAGTCACTGAAGTGGTCGTTAGAAAAAAGGTATTTTTTCTGCGATGGCCAGTTAAACAGGTAGATAGATTGTGTGGCGATGGGCTCACCGCTTGGAAGATTCCTATCAAATTATTTTATTCGCAAGATCAAGAGAACGAATCTAAAGGACGCCATCAATGACCTCGAATGTCACGGTCGATGCGTGTAGGAAATCTTCTGCCTGACAGACTGTAACGGCGACATTGACGCCCTGACCTGGAAGTTTAACCATGGGGGTCCACCGTTCAAATAGTCCGCAGAGTCTGAGGTAGATAAAATCGCGTTTCTCGTTTTTTCTTAGATTGGCAACAAGATGGATTTATCCAATGTAGGGTGTTCCCAAAAAGAAAACCTGGACGGAAGAATACAGCAACCTTTACAGTTTTATTCTTCTAAATATACAACGAGTCCAGTGGTTTGCAGCAACGATGCAACTTTTCTGCTCCCCCGAAGCTGTTTAAGCAGAAATCCTGCCGCCGCAAAACAGACTTCTTGAAAACAGATACCCAGACAGATTTGTCCTGAGGAATATTTTCCTGCCACCTTAACTGCAGAAAAGAAAGACGTGTTCCTGGGGTCCCATTCGCATGTCCCCCCCACCCCTGGTGAAAATTGTTGCTTCCGCTCACTTGCGAGTGATTTTCACTTTGCGTGCTCGGCTAACGAACATTACTTACAGCCTAACATAATTCCCCATTACTCTAGTCCCAATGTCCTCAACATACCGACCTCGTTATGCGATGAGAACGATGAATCTTAACTATAGGGAGTTTATAAACCCTGTCCAACTCTCATGTTTTTATTACTTATGCAATTACAAAGGCCCGGTGACGAATTGGTGAGAACATGTGTTTGCCGTATTGACTTTTAAGATCTTCTCTATGTTGCCGGCAACAAGGAATAACTGATGTTAGAAGTCAGTTTATGGCAAACAATTGTTTTCAGCAACTCTTCATCA